CCATTCTTCTCCGCCTGCCCCTGTGCCTTGCTCCATAAACATTACCTCTCCTTTGCATTTTCTAAGCCTCCCTCTCCACTGCTCCTTCCTCTCAACCTACAAATGTCCTCAAACTCCAAGCCAAAAATAGTCCTTCTCTCAATCCAGCTTCCCATCCCTTTAAGCTACCTTTCCATTTCTCTTCATGCCTTTACCTCCACATTCATTTAAGGCATTGTTGACATTTCCAATCCAAATTCAATCAAGGACCCTCAGCTCTGAAACCTGGGCTGAGAGAGGTGGAAGTAAGAAAGGAGCCAAGACCCAGTCACTGTCTCCAAGGAGAGAATCAACAGTTTTGGAGTCACTGGTATGCTGATTGCCTCCACTTCTAAACGTCAACATTTCACAACCTGACATCTTTCCCATTCTTCTTCTTCTGCCAGAACACTTACTTTTCTTAAAAAGTAAAAGTCCTTAAAAAAAAAAAAATATATATATATATATAAAATCTAATTGGAAAATAAGAGGAGTGAAAATACCATAAGATGCAAACACAGCTAATACCTTCTGAACCCAGATCTCAAGTCCTCTCATCGGTTCTCATCGTGTGCTTAAGAAAATTATACTGGTGATCACTTCCTTTTAAGTGTCCCCTTTCCTCAGTTAAAACTTTGCTGAAGCCCCTAACTCAGTCCCACTGGGCTAATGATTTCCCTCCCCTGATCAAAAACCTTTAATGTCTCCCTACTGTCTATGGCAAAAGTCTGAAGTCTTGAACAGCTCCCTTAAACCCGTCTGTGATCTGGTCTTTTTCCTTCTTCACTTCATTTTCAAACAATCTATGCTCCAGTCATCAGAATAAATCACCATTTCCTGAATATGCCTTGAATCTCTGTTTGCTCTATGGCTTACTCGTATCTCCATTATCTGGGAAGCATTTCTTCCACACTCTGCCTGCTAGGTAGTTAAATCCATCCTTCTAAGTCTACCTCTTCAGCATTCCTATTAGAAAATATATATATAAATTTCTCTTTACTCTCACAGTTCCTTAATTCCTTAAATTTCTATTAAAGCTAATGACATCATTTGGCTTGTATTACAGTTGTATGTGCTTACATTTATCTCCCTGACTAGGCTGTAAGATTCCCTTTTTTTTTTCCTTCAGGCTGTAAGGTTCTTGATGGTAAATAAATTTGCCTCATTTACGGACTGTGACTTACCTTCATTTTTTGTATCCTCTTAGCAGCTATGAAGCATAGTCAATGAGCTCGTTGCCTCTAGTGGTATGATGATGTGCTGACACCTGCTGGTCATATCTAGTTCTGCAGCCTGACCCAGCATCTTCCTCTCAAGTATTAGGGGTAAAGAGAAGTGTTAGTCGCTCAGTCGTGTCCGACTCTCTGTTACACCATGGACTGTAGCCTGCCAGACTCCTCTGCCCATGGGATTCTCCAGGCAAGAATACCGGAGTGGGTTGCCATTCCCTTCTCCAGGGGATCTCCTCGACCCAGGGATGGGAAACCAGGTCTCCTGCGTTGTAGGCAGATTCTTTACCATCTGAGCCACCAGGGAAGTGCAAGTATTAGGGGTGGGGACACACTTACACCTGGAAAATTAAATGGCAACCCACTCCAGGATACTTGCCTGGGAAATCCCATGAACAGAGGAGCCTGATGAGCTACAAATGGTTGGACATGACTGAGAGACTGAGCATGTATGCATACCCTTACCCTGCCAGGTACTGGAAGCCTGTTCTGGTAATGTTGCCCCACAGCCCCAACCATCCTTGGTGACTCTAGGGGCACACTCAGAACTGCTGATCTCTAACTTGCTTCTGGTGTCTCCAGTCTAAGTTCAGTACAATCTTCAGAACTTTCTGCACCGACCCCCATGCCAGCAATTTGTACATCACATTTTCCCCAGTACCAGAGAAATATAAGGAGAACAAGATCTCAAGGAACTGGGCAGCAAGAGGAGAAAGAGGCAGGTAATTTGGGAACAGGGGATGTGCATTTCCTCCTCCTCACCTCAAGGAATCAAGACTGTTTCCTACAGAATGCTGTTCCTTCTGACCTTTGTCTTATTTATAGGAGGCTGCTGGGGCCATGGACTTTCTTGGTGACACTGTGATGAACCGGAGGTTGAGCACAGAGTAGGGAGGCGGGGCTTGGGGGTGGGGCCAGGCCAAAGGGCCTCACTTAGGAGCTTCTCCATTCTGTCAGCTCTCCCGGAACATTCAAGGCGAGACTGGCACCCAGGGCGCAGCAGGTGAGGGACCGGGCAATGACAGAGGGCAGGCTTCAGGGGAGATGGTGGCAGAAGAGCCCCACTGTCAACCCGAGCTTTCCATCTTGTGGCTCTCATTTGATGGAATTCTTGAGTCTCGGGGGGGAGGTCCAGCTCAGTTTTTCCTGGAATAAAGCAGCCTCAGAAAGAAAGACATGGTTTTGGATGGGTGGGCGCGCAGGGCTGAGGGATGGCGGTGGATAAGGGCATGTGAGAGACCCCTGAGAGATGCAAGGAGATCTTAGGAGACATGGATATAGATGTAAGGGCCAGTGAGAGAGTATGGCCAGGGGGTCACAGGGCAGCACTCAGTCAAGTGAAAACAGGAGACTGAAACACGGAGGGAGGGAGAGGACAGTGGACCAAATGCGAGATGGCAACGGAGGCAGTGGAGAGCTGGGTAACAGGAAGGCCGAGGAGGAAGGAAGGCTCACATGGAGCAATCTCCTCTTCCGGCTGCAGAGTGTGGTCCAGAAAGCCCCAGCAAAGCTGGGGGCAGAGCAAGGTTCTAGGTTTCCACTGGACTGGTTCGGCTGGGGGAGAACCCCCCACCCCAGTGACACCTCCCCTGCTTCTTCAGACTCCCATTTTGGTTGGGGGACAGGGCGAGGCTGCTCCTCACTGCGGTCAGAGCCACATCCTGCAGAGGAACAGGGGAGGGGGAAGTAAGAAGCAAAACAAGCAGAACCACCATAGGCACGACCATGGGGAGAGCGCTCCGGGACACAGGCACTCATGTGCCGCCAGCAGGGCCTCAGTGCAGCCCCGGCAGAGGACCTGAGCCCTCTGGGGCAGTCTTGAGGTGCTTCTTTCTCATGCTTCCTCGGCGTGCTTCCACCTCACTGACAGCATTCCACGGGAGGAGGCTTCTTCAGATTGTGTGGTTCAAGGCCCACTTTTATCATTTGCCAGTGATTTAGCAAAATTGCTTAATTATTCTTAGTTTCATTTTCCTCATTGCAAATTGGGGATACCTACCTTACAAAGGGTTGGAAGACTGAGATAATTCACATGAAGCACTTGCCACACAGTAGGTCCTCAATAAATGTTAATTATTATTATTATCTTTTAATCAGGACTCCAGGGACCCCTGTATTTCTCATTGTCTCTAAAGGCAGTACAGCACACTAGCTGACACGGGCTTTTAGAGTCAGAAAAACAGTTGTGTTTGACCTTGGGTAAATTATTTAATGTAAGCTTAAGTATTCTCAGCTGTAAAACAAAGACAGTAATACCTACACTTCACAGTATAGGTGCAGTACCCAGTCAGTGTCCAGAAAGGGCAGCTGTGAGAGCTATCTGCCAGGTAAGCTTTATCTTCCCTACTGTAGGAGCAACAACCCACTTCCCTTGAGGTCTTGGCTGTGGTGGGCTAGCTTGGGGTATGCCCTCATCCCTCCAGCTAAAGCTCCTATGGTTCTGCTGGCCTGTTTTAGAGATCATGATGTCCCACAGTCCTAAAGGGAAAAGTGGGAACAAAGTGTTGAGGACTGAGGGGGCCCGGGGGAAAGAGATGACAAACAGAGATGATGATGAGACAGAAACCAAAGAGACAGAAAGGGGAAAAGCTATTTCTCTCTTGCTAAGGAAGCCTATGGCCTCTCTTCTAGTGACTGATCACATCACTCCCCCCACCCCGACCCTTCCCTAGGAACCATGGAGTCCTTCAGTTCAAAGAGTCTGGCGCTACAGGCAGAGAAGAAGTTACTGAGTAAGATGGCAGGGCGGTCTGTGGCTCATCTCTTCGTGGATGAGACGAGCAGCGAGGTGCTAGACGAGCTCTACCGTGTGTCCAAAGAATACACACGCAGCAGGCCCCAGGCCCAGCGGGTTATCAAGGACCTGATCAAGGTGGCGGTCAAGGTGGCCGTGTTGCACCGCAGTGGCTGCTTCAACCCCAGCGAGCTGGCCCTGGCAACCCGCTTTCGCCAGAAGCTGCGACAGGGCGCCATGACAGCACTCAGCTTCGGGGAGGTGGACTTCACCTTCGAGGCCGCCGTGCTGGCCAGCCTGCTGACCGAGTGCCGGGACATGCTGCTGGAGCTGGTGGAGCGCCACCTCACACCCAAGTCCCATGGCCGCATCCGCCACGTGTTCGATCACTTCTCTGACGCCGGCCTGCTCACGGCCCTCTACGGGCCTGATTACACCCAGCACCTGGGCAAGATCTGTGACGGGCTGAGGAAGCTGCTGGACGAGGGCAAGCTCTGAGAGCCGCAGCCCCGGCGCGCTCCTTCTGGGCAGAATGGCCGACTGAGAAAACTACACATACCAGGCTTCTAACCCTGCGCCTCTGCGCTAATGCTTCTCAATCCTCAGGCTTCAGTCTTTCCCGAGAGTGCGTGTGACTCTGAGACTACCCCACCCCCAAACTCCTGGTGGAGAAGAAGCAATGGCTGAGGGTTGAGGCCTCTCTTCCCACTCCAGCCCCAAGACCGGAAACAAAGCTGCCTGAAAAAGACGAAGTGAAACTTGGATCTCTGTTTTCCCCGCAAAGGGCCTTTCAAACAGGGAAGCCCCCTCACCTCAGAACCAGGGTAAGAGGGCACAGCCCAGCTAACTCTTCTGGGGACACTAAAGACAGCTGGGGGGAAGGGGACCCTGAGAGACATTCTAGACCTTCAGATCTCGGCAGAGTCTGGAGGGATCCCAGAGGCTCTGCTCCAGATGGCAGGAAGAAGGGGCTAGGGCGGGGAAGAGTCTCACAGAGGAAATAAAACTATTAAAACATGCACAGGGCTCAATGTTTAATCTCTCCAGCTTCTTACATCTTATGACCATCACAGAGGGAAGAGGTATATAAACACCACTCATCTCACCTCTCACCATTTCCATACAGGAGACTGAGGCATATTTCCAATATCACTAGGGTTTCCTTGCCTACTTCTTCTGTTTAAGACACTCAAAAAAAACTATACCACAGATCAGTGCTACAAATTGCAAATAAATACGTAGTGAGGAGCAAGGCATAGATCAATAGGCTCTGGTAGGGAGAGGGTATAACAAAGAGGCTCCCATGGCAAAAAGATTCCCACAACTGTCTTCCTCTTCAAACTCCAAGTCAATTCTTCTTCCATCCCTTAGTCTCACACAGGCTGAAGAGAGGAGCAGATCAGAGAGGTGAACTGGTGGCACGGAGGGTTCCAGACCCTACATTGCTGTTGTTTTTTTTTCTCAGAGCAAGAGTTGTGAAAAAGTTACAGTGACCTGGTTAGTCAAGACTAAGCCCAGATTCTTTCATTTGAGATTGGGGGCAAGGCCCGGCACAGTCTGCCACTCCCTGCAGCAGGGCTAGATCACTGATGGCCCATGCTCAATAAAATGGTTGGCTAAGAAGGTGGGGAAGGTGGACTAGAAATCACTGGCTCACTGTTCCTGGGTTCCCCTCATCCCAGGGCTACAGAAATCCCATTTTTCAGCTAAGAGTGGGAAACAATAAGGTACAGCAAATAAATATTACTTCAATATAGCACCAAATAAATTAGGTAACAGAGTTGGAGATGGGGAGGAAGTTAAGGGCTAGGGGAGTCCCTGCCTCCCTTGGCTCTAAGGTCAAGGAATCATGAAAGGGACGGGAAGGGCAGCAGGGATGTAAAAGACCTTTTGAGTCTAAAGACCAATTCTAGACTCAGCCCAAGAACAGAGAAGGGGTCTGTTTCCCATCCTCTACCCTTGCCAATAGAACTGCTCCAGGCCAAGGAACTCTTGCCGGACAAGGAGGCTGGGGAGATGGCAGGAGTGCAGGGAGATAGCCTGGGAAGCCGTGTTCCTGAGCCTCACCTCCAGCTCCTCTCTCCCTCACGATGCTCCTTCAGCATCTGGCTTCTCTCAATCCATTCTGGGGACCTCAGAGTTTGAAGATTTCATCTTCCTGGTCCCGAAGTGTCCGGGTCCGAGAGGTCTGGGTCAGTGGCACGGGACCTAGGACTGCTCGTTGCTGCATCCGAGGAGAGCTCAGGTGAAGACTTGAATCCTCCCCAGGTATCCTGCAGGCAAGGAAAAGGGGGAAAGAGCTACAGATCAAGGGAAGAAACTGAGGTGGGCTGAGTGAAGAAGTAAGTGGGAAGCTGTCTTCCTCTAATGTACATGAACTGGTTGCTTTACGATGTAGTCCAACACCCTCTGGATAAATCCTAACCCTAACGTTCCTTCATGGGTCATCAGAGCAGTAAGAACAGCCAACTGTTTCCCTCTACTGGGAACTCAGAATCATTTTCCAGTGCCTCCACCCATTCCAACAGCCATGGGCTCTGCGAATTGTCTTGGGGCCACCTGAGGGAAAGGCTTCACCTTGCTTCTGCTGACACTGGGCTTACTTTGTGCCTGATCAGGTAAGGTTGAGGGAACAGGGAAATTTACGGAGGGACTTAAAAGGACCCATTCAAGACTCACCCACTTTCCCCCCTTTTCAGCTTCTGGGCAGCAGCCTTCTTTGACAGGCTGATCTGTGAATCAAGCTTCTTAAGGAAATCGGAGGCAGAGAGGTCATGTATGGGGGGCTCCTGGCCAGGTGTGGGAAGGACTTCCCCATTGGCATGGCCTAAACCTCTTTCTCCTTTCTTCCTCTCAGCTGAGTGTGGTTGAACTTCATCCTTACTTGGCTGTACTGCTTCTTCTCCATCCTTCTCTTCCTCAGAATCCAAACCATTGAACAGGTCTCTGGGCTCTGTCAGGATGGGGATGTAGAGGGTTTTCTTCAGGAAGATGGAGTCATTAGTATAAAGGCGGTTTGCACGCTTAATCTGTTCCATCTTTAAAAAAAAGTCACCACAATTAATGACAGTAATAACAATCCACCTTATATTTGTATAGGATCTCATCCTTTTATTTTTTAGTTTTTTCATCTCAGGCCTTTTAAAGTGATTGTTCAGAGTCTTATCTGGCCCTATAACAACCAAAATTATAAAGGGCTGATATTATCCCTATTTTATTGATCAGTAGTTTTTCACACTTTTTGGTTTTAGGGCCCCTTTACATTTAAAAAAAATATTGGGGAAAAAAGCTTTTACTTATGTTAATCACATCTAACAATATTTAAGTTATTGTTATTATAAATTAAAACTTTAAAAATTTAAAACACTGTTATATGTTAACATAAATATTTTAATGAAAAATAATATATTTTCTAAGACAAAAATAACGAACATGTAGCAAGAACAGATGCACTGTTTTACATTTTTGTAAATCACTTGCATGTCCGATTTAATTGAAGACAACAGGCTTCTCATATCTGCCTCTACAAGCATCTGCTGCAGTATCACAGGTCACATGGCTTCTGGAAAACACAGTGTGCACCCATGAAAATAAAAAAGACATATAAAGTCTTGCTATTATTACTATGAAAATAGTTTTGACCTTGTGGATCCCTAAAGAGTCTTAGGGACCCCTAGATTTTGAAACTACTGTAAAAATGAAGGAACTCACTTTGAAACTAACTAGATTCTGATCCCTTTCTAGCTCTTGGCTCAAAGGCGGTGGAGCAATGTCCCAATAAAGATGAAGGAGCTGAGGCTCAGAGAGGTTAAGTTACTTGCCTAGCAAGCTTGTGATAGAGCTAGAATTCTGAGCCTTTTTACTCCTCCCAGGAATGCTTATCTTATTTATTTTGGCCATTTTGCAAGACACGTGGGCTCTTAGTTCCCTGACCAAGGCTGGAACCCATGCCCCCTGTAATGGTTAAGGCCCCCTTAACCACTGGGCCTCCTGGGAAGTCCCAGTGGATTAATTAATAAATATTATTAATATTATAATGTTAATAATTTCACTGATCAAGTATTTATTTAGTGCCTACTTTATTCATCACTAAACACAGTGGCTGGCATCACCATCTATATCTACCTGCCTCCCAAGGTAGAAATATCACTGTCATCCTTAACTCACACTTTTCTTTCACCATCTATACCCAAGGGGTCAACAAAAATGCTGCAAAAATCTCTCTCATCTCTGGTCTCAGCTTCACGTTGCCATTGACTTAGAACAGACTCAGTATGTCTCATTTGGGTATTAAGTTTTTTAACTGGTCTTCCTCCCTCCATTTCAACTTATCTTCTACCCTGCTGACATATATCTTTTAAAAAAAAATTTAACCTCATCAACCCACTACCTTGCTTATGAACCTTCTATGGCTCCCCACTGGGTCAGAGATAAAATCCAAATTACCATTCAAGGGCATCCTCAATCTTGCCTTCATAGGAAGTCCAGCCACACCTCCCTTCTTCGGCCACTTACACCTTTTGCCATCCTGAACTTTCTATTTTTCTTCCAACATTTCATGATCTTTCACACTTTTGTGGCTTTATCTGCCTGGAATGCTTCACCACTGCTCCCTTCTTGGCCTGGAAAACTTCTCAACAACTACTATTCCCTTTGTGTTATCTTCTTCAGGGATCCCAATGCATACTGTAAATATTGCCATAATAATACCTATCTTATTATATTATACTGTAGGCATATTTGTCCTGCGCAAACTGTGAGTCATTTAAGGGCAAGACTGGTGACTTGCTGTCTCTGTATCCCTAAGATTCTCCTCAACATCGCACAAACTTGGCACAGAGCAGAGGCTCATTAATGCTTTATGAGTAAAGAAACTAGATAATAAAATATAGAAACCACAGACACAGTATATCAGTATTTTATTACCCGAGGCCGGGCAGCCAGTTTTACTAAAAATTCATCCCATAAAGGCACCAGTTTGGGAGATCATAATTCTTATAACTGTCCAATATCAAAGCTGTTTCCAGTCTAGGCCAAGACTACTAAAATAAACTTGACTAATAAAATCTTATGCTATAATGAGTTTAAAAATAAAATTGGATTGATCTGAACAGTAAAAACAGTTAAAAGCGGCTTGCAGTTTTATACTTTTACTTTGCCAAGTACTTTGATGCTATTCATTTTATTTTGCCTAGATAATATCCTAGGTCCCTTCTAGTTCCAAGACGATATGAATTAATTTGTGAATTTTCTGTTGCTTTTATTACTTCCCAGAAGTACCATATATGGGACATTGTTCCTCTGCCTTCGAGCCAAGAGCTAGAAGGTCGTTAGAATCTAGTTAGTTTAATAGAGCAGTTCAAAGTGAGGATTTTATTTTTTTGGCCTTGCAACACAGCATGTGGGCTCTTAGTTCCAGGCCAGGGATTGAACCCATGCCTCCTCAGTGGAAGCACAGAGTCTTAACCACTGGACCACCACGGAAGTCCCATGAAATGAGGATTTCAGAACAAGACAACTTGGTCTGAATCCTAGCTCTAACAATTAGACTAGTTGTATACAGTCTATAGCAAGTTAACTCTCAAAGCTTCAGTCTCCTTATCATTAAAAATTTATTTTTATTGAAGTATAATTGACTTACAGTATTATATTAATTTAAGATGTACCACATAGTGATATTTCTTATCTTTAAATGGAAATGGTCACATCTACCTCATAAAGTTTTATGGATATAATATGAGATAATAGAGCTTGGCATATACTAAGTGTTCCTTAAATGACAGGTAGGTAATAAATTAGGTAATTTATTTACCTAAGTTGTTTATTTTTTATTCTCATTGTACAAATGGTGAGGAAACTGAGGCCCCAGACAGTAAAGTGACTGACTATCCAGTCACTCAGCTAGTAAGCAACAGAATGAAACCAGAACCTAGAACTTTTCTTTACTAGACTACAGAGCTTTTCTGTACTCAGAAAGATACAGGGCAGTAAGAAAAGCCTCTCAAACAATAATTGTTGATTCACTAGTAGCAGTTTCCTTCATTGCACAGCATCTGAGCCTCTGCTGGGATGAAAGGACTGCTCAGTACTTTCAAACCCATTTCCTTTATTTAGGTCATCCCTCTACTTAAATGTGCACTTTACTATACTCCCTGTCTCCAGTGTGGAAATTTTAGCCAGACTTTCATTCATTCAAAAAACATCTATTAAGCTTCTATGTGCTGGGGATTATGTCAGGCTCTGCTGCTGCTGCTAAGTCACTTCAGTCGTGGCCGACTCTGTGTGACCCCATAGACGGCAGCCCACCAGGCTCCCCCATCCCTGGGATTCTCCAGGCAAGAACACTGGAATGGGTTGCCATTTCCTTCTCCAATGCATGAAAGTGAAAAGTGAAAGTGAAGTTGCTCAGTCATATCCAACTCTTAGTGACCTCATGGACTGCAGCCTACCAGGCTCCTCCATCCATGGGGTTCTCCAGGCAAGGGTACTGGAGTGGGGTGCGATTGCCTTCTCCATGTCAGGCTCTAGAGATATAAAATTGAAAAGAAATAGTTCTGTCCCTTAGAATGCAAGCTATTGGAAAGATAAAGATGTAAAGGATGCAGATCACTGGATTACATAGGTTTATAGAGAGGAGCATAGAGAAAGGAATCTCCAAGTCTTTGAAAGCCCATTGTGATGATTCCCTTAAAGTCTGCACTAATGTCCCCTTCCAAATAAAAACCAATCTTCTTTCCTGACTTCCCACTCTTTGTTAACATCTCTACAAACTCACCACGTTCTGTCACCTACAATCATTATTTGTGTCCCTGCCCACTTCTCACTAGACTGTAAATTACATGAGAGCAGCAACTACACATTTATGTTTCTATCTCCCAAGATGGTTACCACAATGCTTTGGACATACCAAGCAGAAAAACATTGCCTAAATTCAACAAGATATAGGGGAAGACCCTTATCAACTTTAAAGCAATGTATTTTTACTCCTACTAAATATACCCTATGCATGAGCTGAAATGCTTGGCATAGACAGCACCTGTTTTGTACCACAGAGACCACCTTCCACCTTCTTGAAAAGAAGAGGGCAGAGCATTGAGGAGGAGAAAAGAACAAGAGGAGACAGCACTTAAGGAACCTCAGACTAAAAACTAGCTCTGCATTGTTTGCTGTGAATGTTTAGTCATTCTCAATTAAAATATTTCTATGTAGTTAACAGTACAGGCTTTGTAATCAGACAGACCTGTTTGAATTTTCACGTCAACACTTATTAGTTATTTGACTTTGGTCAAACTAGTTAACCAATCTAAGTCTCAGTTTCTTCGTCTGTAAAAAGGGCACAATCATTATATGCTTGATAGGGATGTGAGGATCAAATGGGCAAATGGATGCAAAGTCTTTAGTACAGTGACTGGCCTAGTAAATAAATGCTGCTCCCCTCCTTTGGGATAATGGGACAGGATTTGTCCCCACCAGACAGTGCAACACTGACATGGGAAAACAAAAAGATAAAGGTGGACCAAACCTTTATCACAATCAATTTATCACAATTAATTAATATAAGCACAATTAATAACATTTCAGGGGAAGTTGCCTAGAGGGCCATACATTCTCATGAGGAATAAACCTCTTCTAAGTGGATATCTGCGTCCCAATCCTGGAAGACTCACCGTCACCCCGTATTTGAGTGCTAGTCCAGCCAGGGTGTCTCCGGGCGCCAACGGATGCTCCAGGCGTCTTTCCCTCACCGGGGAGCAGGCAGACTGCACCAGGCTTCCATAAGAACGAGCCCGGCTCCCTTGAAGCAGTCCTGACCCCCCGAGGGGGGCCTGTCTAGAGGGAGAAGCCATCTCCTTACCCTGCGGACAACTGAGGTTACAACTACGGGAGGCCCGGCCAAGTGACCGATAGTGACGGGCTCGCGGTCCGAAAATGGGTATTTTACAGGATCCTTCTACCCTTCAGTCTTCTCTAAGTCTCCCCGCCTCCCACGGCGACACGCGACCTGTCAGCCCGAGCTTCTCCTCCCTCCAAGTCCCCTTCCCACAAATCTGTACTCCGACTGTTCAGTCCCTACCTGAATCTTTCCTAAGCACCCCTCCGACTTTCGATTCCCCACAACAGCTCGCGACGTTGACCCCTGACCTTTGAACTCTATCAGCCTCCTTAACATGTAACTCAATTTTCCCCTACGTCTGACAGCCCGACCTCCTGGATCCCCAATACCCCGACTCCGCCCCGTCCCGGGGTTGGCCCTCTAGGGTCAGGAACAGATTAGGCCCACCCTATGTGGGCTGTGGCTGCAGGCGAAGGGCGTGACAATAGCGAGAGTCTGTAGCACTCTTTCCCCTTCAGAGATCCTCAAAGGTACTCTCCAAACCAAATCAGTGACACTCTCGAATTCGGGCTCCACATCTAGGTTCTTGTCGTTCCAAACGCTTCGACTCTGTTGAGACGAATGGGCCTGGATTCAGCTCGGCGGCAAGCTCTTTGAAAAAAGACTTCATTTCCCAAAAGGCCCCGCGCCGGTGAGGTCGCAGGGCACCATAGGAAATGCAGTCCCCCTCGGCCGACTAGACGCTGGCTTCCGGGATCGCGCAGTGCATTCGTGGAAGCACATCCCCGGAAGTCAGGGGGCCAGCCGGAAAGAGACCGGGAGGAACGGAGACGTCCCACTCCCGCTACGGTGGCCTGAAAGGAGTGGCGAAGGCGGCTGGATAGAGTTTATGATTTCTGGGGCTCACAGTCGTGATGTCTTTCAAGAGGGAAGGAGACGATTGGAGTCAACTCAATGTGCTCAAAGTAGGCGGAGAGGAGTGCATCCGAAGCAGCTTCACCTGCCCTCTGAAGGCCTTAAAGGAGCTGTTTTGTTGCTGTTGGCAACAACTGGGGGGCGGGGCGGAGGGAACCAAAAGACTAGGCGTGGTGGTGACCCCTTCCTCGCCGCAGATGTGTGTTCTTCCGTGGTCTTTATGCCCTTTGAGTCCTCCTCTCTATCATTTCCCTTTTATCCCTCCCTCATATCCAGCTGATCCCGTCCGGACTTCTTCCCCTGTCCCCTGCAGAAACGAAGAGTCGGGGACCTGCTTGCCAGTTACATCCCAGAGGATGAGGCGCTGATGCTACGGGATGGACGGTGAGAGCGAGGAGTGGATCAAGTTTAAGGGTTTTGAAGTTAGAGACTCAAGAACTTTTGTTATTAAGGAGGAGAGCAGGAGTATCTAGGATTCTTTGGCTGTGAGTGAGTGACAGGGATGTGGGTGATGGAGACAGAGACTTGGGAGTTGGGCTTTGGAAATGAATGCTTGGACGGGGTGGGACCTATGACCGAGACTCCACTCCCCAGGGAGCAATGATCTTTCCTCCTCCCCAGCTTTGCTTGTGCCATCTGTCCCCACCGGCCTGTCCTGGACACTCTGGCCATGCTGACTGCCCACCGTGCAGGCAAAAAACATCTGTCCAGTAAGTTTGGGAAGACAGTCGATACAGAGTAAACCCTTAAAATCTCTTCAGACCACCCTTGGTGCTCTGCTTTTAATCCTCTTCCCCTTTCTCCTCAGGCTTGCAGCTTTTCTATGGCAAGAAGCCACCAGGAAAGGGCACAGAGCAGAATCCAAGACAGCATAATGAACTCAGGAGAGAAGAGACCACAGCAGAGGTAATCAGAGAGGGGAAGTTGTGTTCCAGGCAGGACTGTGCTGCACACCTGAGGCTTGAAGGTCTGTGGCTTGTTTCTGGCTCTGAAGGCTCTGACTCTGTCTCTGGTCTCCATGCCAGGCTCCTCTCTTAACCCAGACTCGACTTATCACTCAGAGTGCTCTGCACAGAGCTCCTCACTATAACAGTTGCTGCCGCCGAAGGTACAGGTCAGTGGGATGGGAAAGCCAGAGGTAGGGAGGGACAAGAGATAGATAGCTCTAAAGTGATTATTTTCCTAATTGTAATCTGAGAAATACTAAGTGTTCTGGGGGTATTGACTTGTATTTCAGGAAAAAGATTTTTGTAACTAAAAAGTTTGGGAAGTGCTGCTTTGTAATCTTATTTGATTGAAAATTAGTGTATTTTAAGGGTTCTACAAAATCTTAAGATAAAAATTTAAAAAACCCTTAAAAGATTAATTTAGCCTTTCCTAAATTTACTGGATTCCAAAATTCTTTTTACGCAGAACACTTACTAATATCTTGAGGAACACAGAATTGGGAAGCACTTCTGTAAGGAGTTGGGAGTCACAGGAGATTAGGCCCTTTCCTTTACTGCTTTTACAGACTTTGATTCTTCTCTGTCCAGACCAGAAGCCCCTCGTCCCTCTGTCTCTCGTCCCCCTTTGCCACCCCCAGAGGTTGAACCCCAAGGTGGGAAGATCAATAGAGAACCTGAGCCTGAGGCTGGTTCACAGACCAAGGAGTCAGCCACTGTCTCATCCCCCGCACCTATGAGTCCCACAAGAAGACGGGCCCTGGATCATTATCTCACCCTTCGAAGGTGAGTATGCAGAATTTTTCCTGTTTTTCCCTTTCCTCTCTGACCCTCCTTGTTTCAGATCTTCTCAAGTATTTTTACTTATCCCCATGGGGCTTCCCAGGTGGCACAGTGGTAAAGAAACCACCTGCCAATGCAGGAGATGCAGGTTCGATTTCTGGGTCAGGAAGATCCCCTGGAGGAGGGCATGGCAACCCACTCCAGTATTCTTACCTGGAGAATCCGGGTGGGCTACACTCCACAGGGTCACAGAGTCAGTTCCTACTGAAGCAACTTAGCACACATGCATGTATGCACAGACTCCTTACATACGTAACTTTTTTCTAGATAGTTCAGGAAATTAATTAATTAGATAGAAAGAACTATTGGGGTTTCCCAGGAGGCTCAGCAGTAAAGAATCCTCCTGTAGTGCACAAGAGGCAGGTTCGACCCCTGAGTTGGGAAGATTCCCCTGGAGAAGGAAATGGCAACCCATTCTAGTATTCTTGCCTGGGAAATCCCATGGACATAGGAGCCTGGCAGGCTACAGTCCATGGGACTGCAGAGTCGGACGTGACAGAGCACTCGCACACATGCTTTTATTAATTTAATAAACTTCCTTTCCTGACCAGTTCTGTTTTCTGATGTTTCCAGCTCTGGATGGATCCCAGATGGACGAGGTCGATGGATAAAAGATGAAAATGTTGAGTTTGACTCTGATGAGGAGGAACCCCCTGATCTCCCCTTGGACTGACATCCTCTTTCCCCATTCATTTCACAAATAAACTACAGCAAGCGCTGGGAGCCCAGCTTTCTTTCAGTCTGGTTCCTTGTTTCAGGATTTCAGATCTGTTCATTCTCAGCCCAGCCAATTCTTCTCTGCAAGGTACACAGCTCCCCACACTTCTAACCCCTCCCCCACCTTCTCCAAAAGTCATGCCAAGCGTCAGCTGCATGCAGCCTGGTGCCCTATTAATAAGTCTGTCAGAAGGAGATTTTTGCCCTTCATGTTTTCTGCTTTCTTCTCCACCTCCACTCAAAGTCCTTGCCTCCTTCCAATACATGAGGGTTGTGGGTAGGCACTGGTCGGCGGGGAGGGGTTGGACATGTCTGGAAACAGAGCCAGGGCTTGCCACCCTGTGAAAGTAGAAGAGACTAAAGGCCCTGGCAGGGTTGTGGGGAACACCAAGGCAGGGAGCTCCCCCCACCTCCTCCTGGTAACTTGAACCTCCCTGCCTGCTGATCCCCAGAGTATAAATAATCCCCTGATGAATTGGCAGTAACCCTTGGGGGTTAGCGCCAAGATTTCCACTTCAAAGCCCAAGGAAGGAGGCAGGCAGAGTGGTCAGTAGGGCCTTTATTTACAGGAAAGGGGGGACAGAGGAGGATTTAAGCTCCAAACCCTAGTTGGTAAAGGCAAAGGTAGTGTTATCTCTTCTTTTGCTGGCGACCTGTAAAGGAAGAAGAGTAAGCACAAGTCATTATCCCATCTCTTGTCCCCTGCAAAGGTGTCCTTCTCCTTTCTGGTTTCTTGGCCAGACTCATAAAGAGGTAATGTCTTAGGTCACCAAACATGCTCCTCCCCCACCATGTTAAATAAGAAACAACAGGGCAAATAAAAACACATGGTCCCAAATGGCTATGACTAACTTCCCTTTTGCCTCTCTACTGGTATACTTGGGCAGAGGAGTTTTTCTGTCTACTTTCAGGTCACCTGTGGTATTTGAACTTCTGTGAATGTCACTTTGGCAGCATCCTGGGCTGCCAGTCACTAAGTTAGCTTTCAGGGGCATCCACCAGCTTCTGCAGCTACTTGCCTTCTCCCCCACGCACCATGTCTGCAGCTACTCACGCAGTTCATTGTTCCGGGTCATGGCCTGAGCGGCCCGAGCGCGTGGCCCCTGCTGTGTAAAGTGGTAGCCAAAGCGGACAATGGAGGGACACTGTTCGAGCACGGTGGCCATCTCCATCTCCACCGCATCACCAGGCCACTGGCGCTGGGGGAGGGCGAGATGGAAGCCGTCAGCACCCCTCATCTGGACTGTTCACCGTCTCAGACCACCAACCCTTTGGGAGGTTAAAGAGGCTCGTTCTCCAGAATGAGTGATGGGAGGTGCTGCCTTGGCTCCCCTCATAAAAAGGGAGAGTTCAAACAAGATCAGGTGAGATCCCGCCTGTGGCTGCCCCAGGGAAGAGGGTCAGTGAGTATTAGCTGACTGCAAAGATTAGGGAAAGGGAAGACTGACCTGGTTGTCTACTCGGAGCTCCGTGAGTGTGGCGTTCTCCCGAACTGCCTTCAGCACAGCCATAAGCCCTGTGCTGCTAATGAAGTTGGATTCGATGTTCAGGCTCTGGAGGCTACGATTCTCACGCAACATGTCAGCCACCGCCTGGGTAGTAGGGACTTGGATTAGGGTTAGGGTACAGTTTCACAGATGACTGAGGAGAGAAAGAACAGGAGCGAGAGGGAGACAGCTCTTTGAGAAGAGTCCTTGAGCTGTGTGTGGGACTCCAGGGAGGCAGAGGGAGGGTAGGTAGTAGGGAAAGCAGTGGGGTGACGTTGCAGTGGAGTTGGGGGTGGTTGAGAGGGTTTGGTGCTTTAGGAAGACAATCAGGATTTCACAGCTGTGAGTCAAAGGACTGAGGGGAGGAGTCTCCAGCAGGTCTCCCCTAAGAGTGTCGATGGGAATATCACCCCCAGCACAAGCCTTTCTGACCGCCCTGCCAGGGATGCATGTCAAGGTGCAGGGAGAGGGGGAGGGATGCCAACTAGCCTTACATTGGCAATGGGGTCACCACTCCTTGTGGCCACCAGGCTGAAGCTCCGGACATGGGTATTTGTCTTCATGGCCTCACACAGCTCAGTTAGCATGGGTATCGGGATGTCCTATCAAAGGGAAATAGGAGAGGGTGGGCCAGGGGACTCATATGACAGCAGAGTTAGGCCGGTGTTAGTGCTTAGAGGATGGGGTCAGATATCACACCTGGATATTATTGAGGTTCACCTCCTCTACCTCCTTGTCATTGCTTCGAACACTCTTCAGTATCTCCTCGATGTTGGTGGGGTTTGGGGGCTCATCTGGCACTGGCTTGTACTTGTCAGGCTGCACCACACCTGGTGGGTGAGGGTAGGAGGGAGACCCCGACATGTCCCCCCAGTCTCCTCCCCATTCATTCTCTTATCACTTATGCATTATGTCCCCTCCCTAACTGCCTCGTTTCACCCTTCGCTACCTCTGCTCAGACGTTGGGATACCTGCCAGGGGCCCTGGGCGCCATGCTCCCAACACACTCACTGCTAATGCCTTCGGTGTTGCAGATTTCTCCACTGCAGATCGCATCATAGTACTGCTTGTTGCTCATCAGTGTGTACATGCCCAGAATTGCTGGAGAGAGTAGGCAGAGGGGGGCACAGGGAATGAGAAAAACGGGCTTGTTCCAGGCCCCCCCCCCCTCATTCTGAATCTTTTCCAAAGAGGTTTCCACTTTTGGTCCCGGGGTCCCTTCCATTAAGCTGTGTAAGGCGGTGGTTTTTAAAACACTGAGACAGGGCTAAGGGAAGGTCCCTAAGGAGCCTCTACAGGGGGAGGGGGTCTGTCAGACCCTCCTGTTTTCAGCCAAAATAGTTCAGCTTTATAATCCCTGTAAAATCGCCCTTGAGATGTTAACTTTGAGTGAATACATATATAGATAAAAATTAAAAAGCACTACCTGAGGCTTTCTCAAAACATCCACATCCCACTAGTCCCATGCCATGTTCACGACCCCCTGCCCCAGATCTTCCCAACTCAACTGCCCACAGCTGCCCACCTGCAATGTCACACATCTCAGCATCTGTGGCGTGGGCCAGCGCCTCCTCCAGCTCAGGCTCCAGAGTGACCTGCTCCTCCACTGGAATTTCTCTTTTGGGCTGGATGTAGGGTTTCCCTGATGGGGAGATGAGGATGTTCAGGTCGAGGTCATTTCTCCTAAGATCCTGGCCTCCAGCTTCCTTTCCTTCTCCAGGAGGTAGAATGCTGGGTCACTAGGAGCCACTGTAAAGCCTGAGTCATCTACAAGCTCAGGATTCCTGGGTCCCCTTGATCACTTCTAAGAGCTGAAGAGTACAAGTTGGCATGCAGGTGTAGGCAGCTGAGTTCCTGGCAGTTAGAAGTGGGCAAGTGAGAAGAAAGCTGGAATGGGGACATGTGAGAGACCACCACCGGGTTCTAGGAGGCATGGATGTTAGCGATCTCATACCCTTCTTCTCGCCTGTGAAGGGCACCAAGTCATCACGCTCTTTGACCTCTAGCGCCTGCTGTTCCAGGTACTGCAAGAGGGCCTCGCGGTCCAGCGGCCCCGTTGGGCTCTTCTTTGTCTGGTCACGTTGTCTTAGTCCAGCCGGCAGGAGCATGTTCTTAGGGATGAGTTTTGGAGAGCAAGTCAGGGTCCCCCGTCTGGCTTGGGGCACCTTCAGGTCTCCCTAAAGCATCTCCAGACACCGTTCCCTTGACCTTCTTGGGACTCTAAGCCCTGTAGATCATCCTGGTCTCAGTCCCCCAGGGCCCCACACCCTTCCTACTGCCTAGGGATTGCCCGATCCCCTGTGCTGGAGCCCCTACCTCGGGGTCCATCTCCTGTAGCTCGCAGTCCAGCTGTTCCAGCTCCTCAGGGCTCAGGGTCTTTAGGATCTCATCTTCATCTATGTCTCTGTATTTTTCCAGTTCCTTTTGATACGATGACATGGTGGCCCCCACCCCCTCCCCACTGTGTGGCACTCACGGAGCCTGGGTTATAGGGAGAAAGTGGTTGGACAATGGCAAGATGTACACAGACAGTACGGAAACAGACAAGCCAGTGGGGCAGAACAATAAATAGGCTGGTTGCCTTGGAGGATAGAGATCTAGCTGGGCATGGGAAAATGGGGGAAGGTTGGGTTGTTTAGTTAGAACTGGAGCCTCCTTCCCACTTCCACAGCTTCCAGCCACTCTGGATGGGGATCCCAGGCATGCAGGGTGAACCTGTCTCCCCATTGTATCAGAAACCCTGGCAGTACCCCTCCCCTTAACCTCGCCTGTCGGTGCCTCTTGCCCTAGTTCAGCTGCCAGGAGCCCTGCCATCACAGCTGGCCCCAAGCCCAATTCCTATTGCAAGGAAGGGGGCAGGCAGAGAGCTTCAGGGAAATTCCGCCTCTCTTCCCCCTAATCCAGTAATCCAGTTTTTCCTAAACTGGTGTAAGAAACCAAGGAGGATTTGGGGGGAAACAGACAGTGCTCTTACTCCACCCTCATCTCCTTTTACTGTGGGGGATCAAGAGCTCATTATGCTTGCTAAAATTCTAAATCCTGAGGGAAAGCAAGGGCTCAGAGGACCTGGGAGACATTCAGGTTGGGGGAAGGGTGGTACAGCCTTAGGAGAAGGTACTGATTTGTCCCTGGCTTTGGACGGGAAGGTGACACCAGTCTAATGGGTGGGAACTGCCTTCTATATGGGATAAAGTTTCTCTAAAAACAGTGAGAGGATTAAACTTGCATGATCTTTTAAGCCACACATACACACCATGCTGAATATGAAAGATTCAGAAAATGTGAGAGATACTTACATTGACTGTAAACTACAGTTAAGGGAGAGGACAGACAGCGACAGAAACACTGAGTGACAGAGACACAGACACACTCCACATCACTCCCAGTAGGAGCCACTCTTCTCCTCCCGTCTCCCACCAGGCTCTGATCCACAAGCCCCCTGCCTTCCCCACCTACCAGTCCTGGGGGCCACCTCCCTTCTCACCTCCCCTGCTCTTGGTTGGTCTGTCTGTTCTGCTGGAGCACCGTCC